GTCCAATTATACAGCTGTAAGGGCCACTTTATTGTGGGCTGAATTTACAGCTAATCATAGCTATTTGATGGCTGCAATAACTGCAAACTAGATGTGGTGGGCAGATACAATGTGTAAACTGCTGTACTGCATTTTCAGAACCACAGAAGAAACAGGAGAAAACATATATTACTGCCCTTTATATGATAATATGTAATTACCCTGTGTATACTAGTTATAACAGTTTACCAAGGACATTGAGAGAGACCAATTAAACTGTTGTGATTTAGCTGCCTAATGCTTTAACTGGACAGAAAAAATGAGAGAGAGAGAGAGAGAGAGAGAGAGAGAGAGAGAGAGAGAGAGAGAGAGAGAGAGAGAGAGAGAGAGAACACCCGGACCAAAATAAAAGCACAAACAAAAGAAGTCAACAAATACCAAAAAAAAAAAAACATGCAGGCACCCGCACAAAGGAAGTGGCAGCCAGCAGACGCCGTGGAAACGGGAGTTGAGTCGTCAGAGTTAAATCAACATCTGTGGCGCGCGTTTCATGCGCTCACCGGGTCGAGGTGATATGTACAAATGTAGCACCCCGGTGATTGGCAACACGAAAACGCCGTTCTGACATCACACGCCTTGTTTCCTTGACAGCGCTTTGTTTAAAGGCTGGAGGCAAGGAGAACGAATTCGAATGCATGTCCTGACTGGGGAAAGAGCCCGCGGAGGAGCAGCTTACACCATTTGCTGATAATGATGTGCCTCGCCGTTTCAGCTGTCTGCATATGCATTCCAAATGTTTTTTATGACAGCTACGCGCGCCGAACTAAAAGGCCATTTAAAGCTGTCAGAAGCTGACAACCATTACCCTCAAATTTACATTTCTCTTACTATGCACTGTCACGGAGACTCACCATCCAGCGGCACCTGATTCCGGCTTTAATTAACTACACCTCTCCCCCCGCCGCACGAAACAAAAGTGTGTCTATTTTCAGACGGAGGTATTCCGATGTATCTGTGTTTTTTTTTCTCTTTGTGTTTTTTTTCCTCCCTTCCTCATCCTCCTGCTTTTTTTCCTCTTCTCCCTCTCTCTCCTGTTTGTTTGTTGGCGCAGCTCTTGCCTTCCCGCCTCCTACCCGGTCCTTGGCGCGTTTGATTCCCGCAGTCATTAAATGAGACTTAAATGAATACAGACAATGAGGGAAACTTTTCTTCTCAGAACGATCGTTTCATTATTGCGATTATTATTCAAAACTGCACGGTGGCAGAATTTTTTTTCTTTTTTGAGAACTGCTTCATTAGGAGTGATGAGAGAGGGGAAAAAAAACAGACCTGGAACACAGTCATGTTGGGTTAAAATCAGGCACATCCTTTGCCGTCTCCCAAACACCTTTGATGAGCATAAAAGAGGGTGGAATTAAGGCTTACACTGAGATGATTTATTGCATCATGGCCCCCGTACCCAATCGGTGGGAAACAATGTCTTGATTCATTAAGGGGGAGAACTGGGAGCAGATTGTGTTTATTGATATTATAGGTACATGGCATGTTCCCTGCCCTCCAGATGTCTATGTTTTTTTAAGTATCTGCCACATACAAATGTGTCTTTTAAATATATTTTTAATTTTTGACTATTGAAGTGAAAAATAACAAAAATAACAACCATTGTAACATTTTAATTATTATTATTCTTAACCCTCTGGACATTAAAGCCAGACTTTCACAGGCTAAAGAGACAGATGGGTTACTAAAAATATAACATTTGTGGTTTTGTTTGTGTTTTGGTCGCTACAGGCAACAGCAAAATTTCAGCCACAACTATATGGTTCTCAGACCCATATGTGTGCGACTGTTGTTGGGAAAAAAAACGGCAAGCGCAGACCTTCAGCATCTCCCAAGCCTTCAAGCTAAGCAGTGTTTGTGCGAGTGTGTGGTGTGTGTGTGTGTGTGTGTGTGTGTGTGTGTTGTCTGTTTGTCAAGGAAGTATTTGTCAAGTTCCACATAATAAAAACCAGATGCTATTTTTATGCAACAACAATAAAATACCTCCCTACGTAAATATTCAAACAAAAAGAATAAAACACACACGTGGGCACGAAACCACAGACGCTTAAACTCAACTGCTGCAAAAATAAACATTTGTGATCCAAAATCCGCAAGTTCACGTGTTTACGGGGGTTGTAGCGGCAACGCTGTCGGGAACATGGGGGGCTTAGCGTCACGGTTGTGAGGAGAAATAAATAAAGCCATAAACCTTGGGAAAAGAGGGAAGGTTCCACACAGAGGGAACAGAGTGCCCACTTCCTGAACCTTCTTGGAGGTCTCGAGGCCTCTGGGCCTGTGAGCCCGCGGCTCCTGTCCAGAGGGCCGGCTTCATTCTCACTCCCTTTTTTTTAAAATTCTTCTGAAACGCAGAAAGGAGGGGAAAACACAACCGCTCTCCTTTGATTTGGCGGCTCGGAGGTGTAGCGTGAAAAAAAAAAAAGAAAACAAAACAAAAAAAAAAACGAACCGCCCACAATTAAGAGCCCCGCGCCATCTGGGAGAGTAGCCGCTCGGCGGAGCGCGTTCTTGTCTCGGATCCAGAGGAGGTCACGGCGGCGCGTCGGCCCCGCTCGGATGTAGCCTGGCCGGGAGCCATTGCGCCGGGCCCTGCGGCGCAGAGGGCGGAGGTCTCGTCCCGTACATGACGGATGGGAGCTCTGCCCCCGGCCCTCCGGACAGATGTTCAGGGACCGGCGCGGAAGGAGAGGCTCGCCGAGTCCTCCCGCCCCGGCCAAAGTCACCTTTCCATCCCAGCATGCACCTCAACCTTAAATAAAGCGCCGTCAGTTTGACTGACAAATCTACTTAATGGGCAAATAAGACAGGGATATAAAAATATATATTCTGAATAAATGAATAGCTGAACATTAGTACATCTTCAGAGCTAATTTTGCTAAGTGATTTGTGGGGTTAACAGTAGTAATGTGAACATTTTTTTAAACTCTGTTTTGTGCTCTTTTTTCTGCTTGCTATTAAAGCATTTTTTAATTGGAGTTATACAAAGAAATGCTAGATCTATCATACAACTATCTGATGTGTGCTCCTTCTGATGCATATATGTACACAATTCATTGAGCAGTATCTTGAGCTACTAGAGCAGAATAAAGCTTGTCAAGCACAGCCCTGTCTTTTTTATGTATCTTTAGTCCATTTCACTCCGCAAAAGGTTTGTCTCAGCTTGTTACTTCCCAGAATCTGGTAGTGACTGAACTTAACACACACAAGGCCTAATCAATGTGATCAATTTTAATGGCCTATTGTCACAAGCACGTCTTGGTCCATGCATCAGTGCCACACTAATGACAGCGCGATTAAAAAAGGAGATGGATTATGATATGGCAAAACATTCTGAGGACCGCATCCAATACCGGGGTGACAGACCTGCTTATTTACAGGGCATGCAGTGTGTATGGTGATGAAAGGGTCCGCGTTTTTCTTCGGCGGATATTGTTCCTGGTGTTGCAGGCAGGGGTGACAAATGGGGTGGGCACCAGCAGGCACAGAAGGGCTTTTGAATCAACAGAGGTGGCAGAGCAGGCCGGGGGTAAACCGTGTGTGTGTGTATGTGTGTGTGTGTGTGTGTGTGTGTGTGGTATAGCAGCCGCACAAAGAGCCAGACAGCCGCTGCTGAATAAAGGATAAAGGGGTTGGGGGGGATGGTGAGTCAATCTTGTAGGCACGTTGACCCCGGAACGGAGCTGGCTGCCTCAACCCCTGACGATCGTTCTGATACGACAGCTGTGCTCTGCCAAGCACGCTTAGACCCCTCTGGCAGCACTTTCCGCAACCTACCGGAGCCTTTGTTGCAGTGTCAAGCCTCTCTCACTCTCCCGTTCGCTCTCTGTTTCATTTGTCAGTCTGTCTGTCTACCCGCCTGTCTGTCTGTCTGTCTGCTTCTGGCTCTCAACTGCTCAGTCTCTCTGTCTCTTTCACTCTTTCTCTCTTTATGTTGGACCACTCCATTCCTGGCATTAGGCATCCTTCCGGCCCTGGGTCCAACTGCATTCCTCTGTCTCTTTCTTTCTGTCTCCCTCTCACTCTTTTTTTCTCATTCTCGCTCTACCTAATTTGGAGCGGCCCTTCCTGCCCTGGGGTCAGCCGCATCCCTCCATCTCTCTCCTTCTTTCTCTCGCTCTCTACCTTCTTCTCTCTCTAAGTTGGAGCGGTCCACTCTTTGGCCATAGGGCCCCTTTCCTGCCCTGGGGCCCCTGACTCTCTCAGTAGCAGCTGTTTCCAGATAACAGTATTATTCTCCGCGGATCCTCAGGGACCGGCTGCGGCGTCGTTAATCACAGCACCTCGCGCTTTACCAGAGCTGATGCATCTCCACAGCATCATCAATCATAAAAAAAGCAGACTGTGTGCTTTGGCTTTTCAGAAATAAATTGAGACACCACAAGAAAAAAGCAATTAAGGGAGGTCTTTGGCCTATCATTCACAGGCTAATGTATCAAAAGCTGTAATTTTTTAAAGGGGTGTGGGTGGGGGGGGGTGCCGGTGGTTTTCATTTTTTTAACCCCGCGTTTCAGGAAAATAAATGATTACCGCGGGTGTAGCCCCGCGGAGGGAAAAATTAATCGTTCTCCGCCGCGCAGCTGTACACGGCAGATGTGATTATTGGTCAGGCAGGAAGTAGGAAGGTGCTGCGCTCGGTTTGGATCGCGGCCGTCGACGTTGCCGGGGGGCGCGCCGGGACTCATCCCCCCCTGCGCCGCCCGCTTGCTCGGTGTCGGCAGTGGGCGCGATAGCTCACTGCCGACCAACGGCCGCCAGGTCGTATAGAAAAACCAACAGGCCAGGTGAGGGAACGGCCAGCTATGTCTGCAGCCTCCTGCACTCTGGGCAAAAAGAGAGTTACATTACAGGCATTTAATAGACTCTCTTATCCAGAGCAACTTAAATTGGTTACTGTTTTTTTACAATGTTATCCACTTATACAGGTGGATATTTACTGAGGGTTAAGCCTAGGAGTACAGCAGCACCACAGCTGGGAATTGAACCAGCAACCTTTTGTTTAAGAGTCCTACTCCTTAACCACTATGCCACACTGGTTATCGGATAGTTATCAGAGAGGGACAGGTGCTTTAACAAGGCAGGATTATTCTGCAGCAGTGTTATTATATTGACGCGCTGCTCTGCTGCTGTGAGAGAACGCTAGGGTTCGAATGAGATGATGAAGCTCTCCCGAACCCTTCGGCCCGGGTTTTACCCCCGGCTGTGTTATTTGCTGACAGAACTGGCTTTGTTCCACCAGGACCAGGGTGAATATGAGGTGTGTCCTATGACACGTCAGGGGGATGCCCCTGTCCTCTGTTTTGTGGTTCCTTCAGGGTGCACTGTGGAACTTGTAGTATGAAAAATGATCATGTTTGGCGTGTGTGCGTGCTTATCAGTGGATTGCATTCATTACACCCTGTGATCCTGTACAGTTTATTGCACTGAGAAGAGCCAAATGTACAATTGCAGATAACAAAGAAGTTTGTGAAAAAGGAAGGAAGATGTCAAAAAAGTGAACAACAACAGCAGAAAAACTAGTGCACTCTTACCTCACACCAGTATGCAACTCTTTTCACCTTGGTCTCAAGTAGTTTTAAGTACTGGATCCATGGGGTCTCTGTAAAGTTTTGTAGCCTAACGTGATATTAATAGTCATACTTTCAGTATTTGTGCCTTACAGTTACGGGAAGGAAAGATTAAATTAATGCAGGCAGTTGTAACAGCAACCCCATCATTCCCAGTTTAAACTACAGCAATGAGTAGGTGGCATTCTGTAATTACCCATCTCCATTAAGGCCCCAGTTAAAGCGTTTCACTGCATTTGTATCAAATTGACTGTGCTTCGAGAACTCGGGCAATTTCAAACCACATTGTTCACCGAGACAATCTATGTGATGCCAAAGAGCATCGATCATCTGGCTCATAAGTCTAACTATTTTAAGACCACCCACTTTATCCTGTCAGATTCTGCAAGCTGATCCTTCTGAAGCAAATTACGTGCAATGAAAGCCAACCAGACATGAAATTTGAAAACAGGCAGAAACCAGACTTGAAATATTGTCAATGACCTATGTAGCGGCTGAAATCCTCAGCACATAGTTTCCACAAATATACAGTTAAGAACACGGAGTTACTTCATAATGTGAAAGTAAGAACTGTCTTACAGTGTTTGATGAGGTTATTAAATGTGATGCAACCACAAGTGCAGTATCAAGGCTCAAACTGAAGGGGTCCTTGGCAAGAAAGCATGAGGCCAAGAAGCCTGGGTGTGTGTGTGTGTGTGTGTGTGTGTGTGTGTGTGTGTGTGTGTGTGTGTGTGTGTGTGTGTGTGTGTGTGGTGGGGGGTGTTGAGGTGGAGTTGGTTTGGAGGAGGAAGAGGTGAAAGACAGAAATGCTTGACCAGCCACTTGCACCTCCTCACCAGTAGCACAGAATGTTTTAGTCACATAAATGCAGAGTGACTGCTCTCTGCAAACAAGGAAGGCCTCTGCGCACCAAGCTGACGACTCTGATCAGAAATGTTACGACCAATGGTATTCACAAGTGAGCAGGAGAGGAGAGGGCGGGACCTATCGTGACTCACTGGGCATGCCTGAGCCAATCAGTGTACGTCAGAAGCCACCAAAGATGTGCATGTTGGGAGTGGAAGGGGTCGGCACTGGGAAGGTAATACAAGCAGAACACATAACAACACTGTCGTCAGACATTCGCTTCACAGAGTCTGCTTACTCTCTGTAAAACAATAATTTGGTCACTGGGTCCATCTTTATCCTCCATGCTTTACACAGGAGTCCCATGGTGTCACTACAGGCACAGCGGTATTGACAGTTTATACTTTGATTGCCTTATACTGTGAGCTGCATATGTGTCCCCTTACACTGCCAGGGGGGGCTCTTCAGTTGCACATTAAAATACATATTGTAAACTGTACTGTATCCCCTGTCTGCATGCCCTGTAGGAATGCAGGCAACTGCAACTGACCCCAGTTCTGCCTAATCAAGGGCCCCCCACCTTCTGACACAGCGGTAATGAGTTTGCTTGAGGCAATGCTGATCTCGGTTCAGTACCCAGCACCGATTACTGCTTCCCGCAACACCTTCCGGTGTATCTAGGCCTATACATATTAATCGGCATCATTCTCCACCACGCTCCACTGCCACCAGCCTCAGATGCATGCGAGCCAGTGATAAGGCTAGTAATGGACCAGAGAATAAGAACAATACAGTGACCAATCGTGTGCAGAGGTACACCTCTGTGGTTCCATCCAATGATCAAATCATAGAGGATACCCTTCAAATTCAGACATGATCACTTAAGTTAGAGACCATATTTTCTAAGTAACAGGAGGTGAGTTCTAAGCTAATGAAAACTCTTTCTGTTGTTCCTCAAATATATTTACTCAGAGTCTGATGCAATGAGAGATCGCCTGTGAGTTTAGTCCCTTAAGAAGTACATCATGGAGGTCACGCTTTCAGAGTGTTAATAGCATTCGGATATGGTAACATATGCATTCTTAGGCCAGAAATACAGTAAGAGGCCATAGGAAAAATGACACCGATATGGGTTCATTGGAAGTACAGTACATGCAATGTATTTACATGTATGTGGCCTGTGTTTGTGATAACAGGAACTTTCCTAATTGTTGTTTTGACAAACTTTTAATGGTCTCCTATTACATGCATTTAATATCATTGTGCATTGAGCAGCAAATGTGATATAATAACTCAATCAGTCAAGAAGTTAAGGGAAATTAATACCAGGCTTTCTCAGTAATGTGGTTGCAATTACAGGAGAATACCAGTGAATCATTTCCACATGGTTCCAGTGAAAACTTCCTAATCTCGCCTGTGTACATCTAGGTGCTTTCCTCTGGAATTTCACCAAGTCAGAAAGAGAGAGAGAGAGAGAGAGAGAGAGAGGGAGAGAGAAAGAGAGAGGGAGAGACAGAGAGAGAGAGAGAGAGAGAGAGAGAGAGAGAGAGAGGGAGGGAGGGAGAGAGGGGACGGAGGTTGAAGTTGACTCTGAAAAGGTTGTGGTTATAACTGACATGAGGTTTTGGCTCCCCGTGCCAAAAAGCTGAGCTGTATTTGCACCCTGTTTTTTTTTTTTTTTTAACTTTTTTTTTCGCCTCCACTTTTTCTTTTGTAACCGCCTGCTGGTCCATCTGACTCAGACTCGCTGATGCGCGACAAAGCCAGTTAACTTGTTCCGTCTGCCGAAGCGCCGGGCGCTCCTGCGCTCTCTCTCTCTCCGCGCTCAGAAGACAGCTGCGGCCTCGCTGCCTCGCTTTGTCCGGGACACGCGGAGCGCGAATGCATCGATGAGCGCTCAATCGCCGGCAAACCGAGCGCGCGACTGCTCTTTGGGAGCGCTGCTCATCTATCACTGATTCAATTGGGTACGACTGGATTAGAGCCGAAACGAGCGCAAATTCCACGCATGCGTCTCAGTCAGGGGTGACAGTCTACCTCTTATCAGCTTCTGATTGATACTGCAGGAACGCAGAACGTGTGAACGCGTTAGCTAGACACTCTGGAGGCTGATAATGTCAGTGAAACACAACATTCAACATAGTATGAACACTTATCTGTGGCTGATGTTTGTATGGTCACTCGTATGGTCTCTCTCTCTCTCTCCCTACATATACAAAACATGTACAAAATATGTGACTGCATAAATACTGATGACTGTAATTGATCAGCTATTATAAACCACCATGAGGGCCACTAGTGCAGTCATCTCTGAGGTGACTCAACACGGTCACGGAGCGAAAGCGACCATTAAAGGCTGTGTCACAGCCTTTTCCCAGAATCCCTTGCGTTACCTCGGTGACTTCATCGATCCTTACTACATGCACTGTCAGATGCTTTTCCATAGATCCTGCATGAAATGAATAAATACATAAGCTGCTCTGCCCCCCCCCAACCCCCCCAAACCCCCCCACCTCCGCCTGCCACCCACGTCTCTGTCCCTGTGAATTCTATCATCTATCATTTCTCAACACAGACACCGGGGTCAATGAATATATTACCTTTATCAATTATGAAGCACAAAACAGCCAGCCCTTTTTAAGATCTCGTTTGTTTTTATTATTTGTGACTGCCATGAAAGAATTGGAAACGATTATTTCCCTGGTCTGACACCACCTCAAAACGCTTTCAGACGCAGAGGACTTCAGCAGACTGGTTTCAGCTGGTAAAGTGAGTCTGTTTATTGTTAATGCTTTCCTCGAGCGGCTGAGACCGTTGGTTATTAGATGTGCGGTCCAATGCAAAGCGAAAGCTTAAGGGAAATGCCGAACTCTCCAGCCGAATTTGTCATCAGTGAGCCTGTGCTAAGCCTAAAAAAACAGTCCCAGGTAATGCCCTTTCTGGGAGCAGTAATTGCATGTGAAAAGAAAATATCAAAGTCGAACCGGCCAAGAATGTTTTCACTTTAATTTTCAAATAATCTTTTGAGTTTTATTTCCTGCACCGCGAGAGGGGAGATTAATGTATTTTCCATTAGTCGGTTGTACGACAACAACTGCTGATTAAATAACTTAAGAGTACATTCAAGCCAGGGGAAGTGGTTTACTGCTGTTGCTTAATTCATTAGGGAGCTGAAAAGTGAGAAAAGTGAGCAAGGCCAGAAAGCTGCTTTTTTGCACATTGCGAACGGAAGTCGACCTTTGAAATGCAGAAGAAACGAAGGAAAAGGGGCTCAAAGACCACAAAAAATGAACACGAAGCACAGGAGATCTAACTAGGCCTAAAGTCACGGAAATGTCCGTTTGCGAGTCAGGGCTCTCTCTGGCGTGTACAGATGACGGCCTGCTCCTTCGACTGCTGGAGGCAGAACAGCCGCCCGGACGAGGCGGTGTGGGCCCCACCCGGGCATCCAGCTGATTGATTGGCCCTGCAATGGGAGGAAGGGGGCGAGCCACATTCTCCGGAGGGTCAATTCATCACCGCCCCCAGACTCACGGCCTATGCTACAGGGCGTGGTAGCGAGCCCCTCCCTCATCTCATTCATCCGCATGCACACATCGGCAGTGTGGACACTGGTAGCAGTGG